ACAGCTTGAAGGAGGAAAGTTCTACCAGAAGCAACAGGAATTTGCTGCAAGACAGGCATATGTAACGATGACTTAGCGCTCTTAAACTTGTGTGTCATTAAATATAGTTCTCCTGACAACAGGCCAGCGAAAAATCTAACAATCTACAGCAAAACCATCAATTATTATGGGCGTTATAACATAGGTGTGCAGCTGGACGAAACATTGACGTCAAACCCCCCCAGACGATTTAAATACCTTGACGAAACATACACGTCAAACCACGCTGAACGGTTAAAACAGAAATATATCCCACAAGTGAGGCAATGGAAGATACTGTAAACATGTCAGGACACGTTCAATGCCATCATATCTGTGCAGTGATACTTAATTGATTACATATATACAAATTTAATATCAGTATGTTATGATCAGATTTTGTTTATGTGCTCTGATGATCCATAATTTATTTATTTCAGAATTCAGACATTCCTGTGTCAGCACCTTTTGATATCTAGAAAGCGTTCAAAATCATATATTGTTAGTATCTTTGCCTGAACCATTTTTCCCTATCACCCCATTCTGATGTACTAGCAGTTCTCAAAATCAGACACTGTAAGTATACCTGTCTGAACAAAGAGTTGTTCTCTTGTTACAGTGATGGAGATATGTAATACATGATACTGAAATTATACCTCATTATAAGGACACATGCAAGAATACTACTACAAATTGCATTATTTAACGATAATCATGTCATGCAGCAAATTGCTCAAAATATAACAAATTTATTATTATAAATGCACATTCTCAAACCAAAACTGTACTTACCATGGCACAGAATATTTTTGTAGCACAGTTCAATGTAATTGGTTCAGATAATGAAAGTTCACCGAGAGAAAGAATTATGATTCGTGCATTATGCTATAGAGGGTCTTAGTTACTTTCCTAAATATATGCCACAATCTTAATAAAACACTGACCAGGTTACTTTGTTTAAACTTAAAGGTAAACTTCAAATTCTAAAAACTTATGACCTACCTTCAATTCTGTATCATTTGCTACAAACTGATCATCTGCTGAAAAAAGAAGCGGTATCACAGGATGCCTTCCTTTTTCAATATTAATAACCGTTTCTTCCATGTCCACCAATGTAGGCCTAAAGAGATGGATTTATGTTACACAAAGCAGCTGTTTTCTTTCAAGTGTTACCTTACATTATAATATATATATCTCTCTCTCTCTCACATGCGCATGCGCATGCATGCACACATACACGAAAGAACACTTTCTTTTATTCTGTTTCAGCTTTAACACGTAATGATAATGAAAACTTTCAAGCATACCAAGACAAAGCTAAAATAGATTTTCTTATCCCCTCTGTCAAATCCCATCGGAACTATAACCCGTAACTACCACTTACAAGAAGAAAGGAAACAGCTAAATGGATGAAATCATATTAGGACATTAAAAAGGACACATTTCAAACAATATTTCTACTGCATAGCTAAAACTTTGGTCATCACCACAGTAACAATTCCTCCAGACCTGAGTAATGTGACCCTCAGAAATTAAAAAGCTAGTGTATACCAGGGAGGGACAAAGCATGGCCTAACAGTGAAATATGTTTTTTAAACATAACATACTAGCTTGGGACACAACAAGCATTTAATGAAGAAACTCAAGGTAGGAATGCTAGTCCACCAACTGGTTTCAGTTCATAAAATTGTATAAGACCCTGTACTAAAATATATATTTAACTAATATATGTGCACCCTGACCTTATTCGTGCATCCAAAGGACACACTCTGGTAGAACACATGTAGGATAATTTGATGAGAAAGAAAAAATGGTTGGAAGAACGGAGCTACTTTATATATTCAATTTAGTCAACAGCTGTTGATCCAGTCTTCTTTCCAAATGCCACTTGTTCCTGAATTATGTATATGCACTTGTTTTAATTCTTTATCATGTAATTTAATAGTATTCACTTAGAAAACACAGTCTGAATAATTTCCATACAGATTTCAGGCATATTTAATGTAAATCTTCACAATACATACTTGCAATAAGACTCTTGCTTTGCCACTTCAACCAGGGAAAACAAGACATCTAATATGGCAATGTTTTTTATGGCTTTCTTATGGGCAAAGTAATGAGCATTGAACTCTGTAACAAAACTCAGCCATGCAGCATGACAGTCAACCACAAGGTGCTCCCTCAGTCGATTTAGTTCCTTGACACAAGTATCTACTTCAGGTGATCGATAACGAACCACCTGCTTTGTCCTGGAAAGAATCAGAGAAAACTATACTATTTATAACAATATCATTTGCATATCCCCACATTCAAGTGTTGAACTTATTAATAATCAGAACAGTTTTACTGATTTTAAACCTTCCTTGTTACTGCAAAATATAACTTCATGTGAGTAGCAAATATTTTACCTTCTTAACAAACTTCTATGTTTCTTTCTGATGAAGACTTTATGTAGATCACACTATAACTCCATAAATGTTGACACAAAATATGAAATACTCAAATATTATGCAATGTGTGTGTGTGTCAGAAGTTGATTTCTGAAGGGCTGGAAATATGGGATCAATAATATGTGAAAATACATAAATATAGAGTCTGATTCAGAAATTCACAACTGAATTGTAATGTCATCACAGAACGAAAGTTCATCAGTGTAGAAAATATTACCATTACTGAAAGAAATGAATCAAAATCATGTTAATTCTATAGAGTTCTGACAATGGTGTGTTACACTCAAGATTAATTAGTTTCTGGACTCTGCCCATCATACAACTTCCTAAAAAAAACACTTTCAGTAACTGAATCTGTTTCTGTCCTCTTGTGAATGGGTGGAGAGGCAACTGTTCAGTTGGGTCTTTTAATCACAGCTAGTCTTAATCATGGGAAAATTATGTTCACTGCTGGAAGTGAGGCCTTGGACTGCAGTGGTATTGCCACTAGTTATCATCATAATGCCAACAACTGTGATCTGATAACCTGGCATTTTCTGACATTCTGAGATTACACATGCAAATTAACCCTCTGCACACATGTACTGATTAGACTGGCTTAAGGTACTTGCAACCAATCACCACAACCATACAGCTGGGCTTGCTCTTAATCAATCACTACACAATTTCTGCCCCTAGTTGGCATAACAATATTTAGAGGACAGAACAGGCTTTCACATACTGTCATTTAAACGTTATATGAGGAAGTACTGTCGGTTTCTGCTGTACTCCCAAGCAGCCATGGTGTTTTCAGCAGACACTTCTATGGCAGAGCTTGGTAGTCAAAGGGTTCAAATATACAGTTTTGAAAATGAAAGAAAATGGGATGCAGTTTTAAGGATGGAAAAAAATAGGGTTTATATTGGGTGGAAATTATTTACAATTTTAAATGCCAATATTACTTTTCCTACAATTATGTAATCTTATATATTACTCACTGCAATTCATTACCCATTATTCAAGCATCGCATCCCACATGTATCAGCGATAACAGGATGCCACTATGAAACACAGCAGTTGTAATACAAGACCATGAGTTGAGAAATAGGCCCAATCATATGACACATGCTTTTAGCTTACCGTATTTCTTCTGCAGTTCATACACTTTCAGTGATTTCGCTATAACACAAATTTATTTTCAGATTTTATTCAATATCTGTAACAACATAACGTATTTCCATCATACTTACTCACTGATTTTCCTCCAAGAGCTTGGAATGGACTTCTTTTGGTTCTGTTTTATCTCAATGAGAAATTCTTGACCTGATACTGTCACATAATCAAATCTGAATAGGCCCAACGTCCGAGTAATTCCAGGTTTCAGGTCCTGCAGTTGTCGAGTAACTGCTGAGATCTGTTCCAACCTCTTGGTAACAGCTGGAAAGGCAGAGTAGTCATGAAGCAATTTTGTCTTGTCTCCATTCCTAAAAATTAATACATTGCAGGAATGTGAATTTTGGAGTCAAAACACTCAAACATAAACCTCAAATTCTGATACAGATCTCCTATTACCAAATGATTAATCTGAATGCTGTTAAGCATGTGCATCATCTGAGTTTATGGCTGCTTCTCATGCCGAGAAACACATTTCCAACAGCAATACCAACAACTGAAATACAGAACTAGTGAATTCTACTGCAGAAATCATATTTTGTCTGCCTAGAAAAGAATGAAATATTCGTAAGAGAATCATTCATTAGTTAACAAAATGTGGATTGCTACAAAGTTATATTGTTTAGATTAAATTTAAACACTGTTAGATGGATAAATGAAAATGGAAACTGTTTAACCCTATATGATTCAATGTTAAATGAAAGGGAATGCCAGTCAGGATTTGAAATGACACCCCCCACATATAGGTCAGAAGCATTACAGCTTGATGCAACTTGCTCAGTCAGAATCGGTTGGAAGCTAAGAGTTAGTCAGTCAGTCAGTCGGTCTGCGGTCTGTCTGTCTGTCGGTCAGTCGGTTGGTCAGTCAGTCAGTCCATCTGCCCGTCAGTCACTCAGGAATATGAAGTTCCACTACTGTGTTCACAAGAAACTATCACTGTTGAAAGCCTAGTACAGAGTGAGAGAGCTAGAGAGGGGATTTTGACTTTACAATAACATGTTTTAGGTTGCTGCAGTCTAAAAGCAAGGAAAAAGAAAGAAAATGCAGCACACCAGTATAACCTTTTGGTTTGCTCTGTTCACTAAGGCAGTATCTCACCTAGCTGCCATAGGATTGAGGTTCTGGAGGAAAGGCTGAATATTGGACAACAGCTGTACAGTGTTCTTGATCAAATCCTGTAGCAAGGAACTCTGCAGATCTTGTTCAGCTAGTGCAGATAAAGACTGCAAATCTGTTTGCAGTTTTCCCAAAGTCTGTAAAACTGCATATAAACTTGATGGTCCACACTAAAACATACATAAAATGAGCCATTCACAGTATCCACCAAACAGTTTGGGGGTGGAGAAGTATAAATTTGCTTAACAGAGAAGTAGAAATCTATGTTTGGATTTTCCAGGATTTTAGTTTTTGTGGCAGGAGTCACAGTACACACTGGGGAAACAAGAAAGGAATACAATATTCTTATTTGAAAACTCAATGGGGAAGACCATTTGAGAGACTAAGCATAAAAAGGAGCGTAATATTACAAAGGTAACTGAAGAATTAAAAACAATTTTATAATATGATTTGTCAAAATAATAACATAATAATTAGTCTTATTATGTTTTTCTAACTACCTTCTTTCCAGCACATTTGGTTCCATAATCCACTCGGCTTCCAATTGTGTCAGAAAAAATGTTTCCAATTAAGCCTTAAGTCATTCTTGCACCATTCTTCCATTTCATCACTTAAGAATTTTTAACCTTATTATGTTTATACAGTGGGCCCAAAAACTGAAAACTGGTTGGTGCTAAGTCACAGCTACACAGCTGATGATTTCAAATTTCATACGGTTGTGTGAGCAGTGAATGAATGCAACATTACTGCAGAACAGAGGGCATTCTGACAGCAGTTTGTGGCACTTTCGTCACACGTCTCACTTCACTCTGTTACACAACATGTGACTAGAATACATACTAGTGACAACTGTTGATCTCTACCGAAAATATTCAGCATAGGACTGATGGAACTCAAGAAAACGGTTCAAAACACTTTCCCTTCTTTTTAACATTTAGTCACTTGAGAGGAGTGTGCCTTCACTGCACTGCTTCTTACTCTCCACCTGACAGCACTGGACCCAAGTTTTACCTCCATTCACTGTGCAATTTAAGGAGCATCTCCAGCATAGCACCATTCAAAATGTTTCCACTTACTTCCTAACATATATTCTTGCACACATCTGGCAAAAACTTTGCATTATCCAAGCTCTTCATGATCTTACAGGAAAATCAAGACTGATGCTCATTACGAATGTAACTGCATCACTCCTTATTCTTTTCTTGTCCCATACTTAATGACCTACTGCCTAACCTCAACAATTTACAGTCAATGGTCTCCCAAAACACACATCACCAATGACAGTTATTTCCCACCTTCATTATTTATTACTATAAAGCCATTTTCACCACTATCTATACATGCAGGTAAATGGAGAATTTCAATACCTTAGTATGTAACTAAATTTAAAGTATCTGAGAACAAAGTGCTAACAAGCATGGTCTGACCTAAGACATAAGAATTGTGCAGCAAAAGGAGGAAATCATACAACAAGGAGGTTCGTGAATTATACACCCCTCTTAATGCTGTGATAGGGTAGTTAAACAAAGTAGGTTATGTTGTCTGAGCAGATGGACTCCCACAAACATAACATTAAAACAGAAAACAAGAATTTAACAATGTTTCAGCATACCCTCTGATGTATACATGTGGTGAGGCCACGATCAATATCTGGGATTCCATCCAAGAGTTCCTGTAACTGATGAACAACTGGGGACTCAGAGTGAAGAAGTTCACTGATGGCTTCTTGACGACTTTGCAGTATGGTCAAATCACGTAAAGGGTGTGATAACCACTCATGTAGTAATCTAGCAAGAAACAAGGCTAGGAAGAAGAAATCCTCATAACAATCACAGTTAACAACATACTTAATAAACAGAATAGTTATGAATACAGCTAATGGTAGGTAATACAGTAATAACAATACATTTTTAAGAATGCTTTTGGCATTAATGAATTCAATATTTACTCCATACATGACAGCTGCTACTTCCTTGGCATTACATTTTATTTTTAAAATCTCTCAAAAGTTTGTACTATGTTTCACAACACCAATGGTTAAAAAATGAAGTTAAATAACATTTTGAGTTCCACAATTTAATATTATTCAAGGAAGACCCCAGTTAATACAGAAAGCAGAAATAAGCATAGAAAACACTATTTTAAGAATAAAGAACTCACAGACAATAGGTGGCCAGCTATACACAGTTTATTTTAGCTCTGGACTGTCATGGTCCTGATTTGCAGAGATAACTTTGTTTGTATACACAGATGCCATTCCAGGTTAGCTTAAATTTTGTTCTAGAAACTTTAATAAAGTCTTGTAACCACAGCTCTCCACATGCATACCAGGAATTTACATTTGGTTAGAATTGTGGTGGCTTACGGTAATGAGGTTTTTGTTCTCTTTCTAAAATTCAGATGATTATAATTTTCCTTTTCTCATAACAGACTTTTAACACACTTTCAACAAACAGTATGTGATTCCTTTCATGACCCATAACTTCCCCATTCACAAAGAAGCTCGAAGACAAGTCTTTGGTCCAGATCAAGTCTGCAGACATCTTGAAGCTTTTCTCCCACTGACAAAAGAATTCAACTTAAGTCTATTACATTCATTGCAGGCTTTATCTACAGGCTTCTCCACTACAGTTCAAGTCTGTACAAAAAACCACGAGTGTATGACCCACTACTTACAAAAGTACAGGATTCCTCCTTATCACTGTCTCTACAGCTCCCTGACCTAGCAAATTATATTTCCTTCTTTTAATTTTGCCTAATTTACATAAACTAATACCTTAATTACATGGCTACATTTTAATATATATCATTCATTTTATAATGCCTTCATGTACAGCCATTTCATGTTAATTTCCTTTACTGTCATTTATTTCCACTGAACACCTCTATCTATTATGGTCTACTGGTTATGCACTGCACTGTAGCAATGATAAAAGCATATGGTCCAATAGTCAGACATTCTGTTTTCATTTTTTCAGTCCTAATACTATTATTCTCATGTCATAATCCAGTTTTGCAACCCCACAGCACTTGCAGATTTAAAATCCCCTATTTCCAGAGAAAAGGCAAATGGAGTGCTGAACAATCCTGAAGTACATCACAGCCTTAGGGACTAACAAATAATAATCTATACAAGAAAAGTCAACACGCATTATTATTTTCATAATAAACAATAATATCATACTGCATCCTCTCCTGGTCTTAAGTACTGGATATGGATCGAGAAAACAAACCTGCAAAATATATGGAAGTCAAGACATCAACCAAGCAGAAATGCAAGTCTAAACATATTGTCGCGTATCGGGCGTATATCGCGACAAATAACTTCACGCCGTATTTTATATAGTGAATTTTATTTCACATTCGCACTTACAATCACCCAAATTACAGATTTACGATTACTGCTATCTGCAGTATCACAAATAGTACACTCCAAATGCCACAATACAACTGACTGGTTGCTGGCTAACTTGGCACTAACTCGGAGGTAGCTCAAGGACTGACTCGTAGGTAGCTCCAGGACTGACTGACTCAGTACAACTGACTGTGAATAGCCTTCGCTGCTCCTTATGTAGCCTTGATCGGACAATACGGAAAACGGCCACGTAACAGGCACCCTTGTTGCCTGGTGCTGTGTTGCTAGTAACGCTAGCGGTAGTAACCGCTGTTACTACCGTAACAATCCTGTTGCGTCACCGTTACGTTACCGTGCAGAGGAGGGGGAGGGGAGCGCTGACTCACCCGCCGCGTCACTGCTGGTGGGGGGGTTCTCCTTTGCGCAGCATGTCACAATATATAAAAAATATCAGGACTGTCCAATTTCTCTAGTCCTAGTTATTAGACTTATGTATAATAAGTATGACACTAATGTGAGCTGTCCTACCTGGATCCAAATTTTGTTCTTGTGTGGTCAAGGGCCCAGAAAAGACTTCCTTTGTGAGAACCCACAATGCTCCGAAATACCTCCAAGTTCCGAAGAACACTAGCATCCATTTGCAAGTATCTTGAGTCTGAAGCAAAACTTCGTAACCTAAATGAATAAAATCGAACTTAATTTGTAATTCTGATCCTTTGTAATCAACAACACTTTCATTCGCAATATTCCAGTGTAACTCATGTAACACCACATGTGAAAATAAATTTAAATCTTTTCTTGGCAGATATGCCCTCTGCAGAACTACAATCTTCTCTTCCTTATTTATATATAAAGCAAACATGAGAAATATAGACCTTTAAGTAGGATTTAAGGTTCTAACAGTGGTGGTTGTGAAGAGTTCTATCTTCTGGGATATAACGTGTGGTCTGGTGAAAACTGACAGATATACCTCTGACACATCAGTTGTCTTTCAACAAACTACATGGCATTTTATCTCAGAAGAGAGAACTCTTTACACCCTTTTAAGATCTTAGATTTAAGTGATAAAAGAAGTACTATAAAAGTCTGACAGTGTACTACATTACAGTTTAGTATGAGTGCAAAACACTAGTCTTATTCAATTACTTGCTCCTAAGATACATTATGAGTCAATAAATTAGCAAACTCCTCGTAAATTAGCTAAAAATGATACACCCTAACCATAAACACACTTACCCATCTGCCCTCAATGCCTGCTCCAATCCAAACTGTTTAAGATGGTGAATCAAAACAGAAAAGCATACCACAGTTAGAGGGGGCAGATCGGTCATTGCCTGGAACTTTGGTGAATTAGATTCTGAGTCACCGTGTCCAGAGAAGAAAGATGCGACTTGCACCAGTGCATTGGTGAAGTTATATAAATCATCTTCCAGTCTCTCTACTCTTGCATGGCTGGAAATATAACAAGAGAAAAGGCATGACTATAGTAGCAATGAATGAGAGATCATTTGTTTCTTGGCAGTCATACTTCACATGGATTAATGCATTCTAGTGAGTGCCAGTCATTAAGGAACAACAGAGGATTAAACAAACAGATCTGTGACTTAGTTTTCTTCCCTCTTCAAAGATAAAATAACAACTAACTTCTTAATTTAAAAAATTTCAAAAGTGAAGGTTACCCTCATCCAGCAAGCCTGTAAAAATAACTGATGGCATCAGAACGGCCTGTTTGGTTTCCTCATGTTCTGATTAGATCTCTGGGGGAAAACACATCAATATGCATGTTATTATAATTAAAATTTGAACATCCACATGTTCAAGTCCCACTACTCCAAGGGAGCTCTGATCAGTTAGGTCAATAATGTAACGGAAAGTTAAAGGGTTTATTTAATACATGGGGTTGGTTCCCTGGGGGAAGGCTGACAGGGGTGTGAAGTTGTCCACTTACCTCCATCTAATGCTGAGGTTAACAATGAGTGGAGCTACATCTCATTCTTCATGGTGTGGTGCTTAATTTAAGCCCAAGGATAAGTACACTTTTTTTTAGCAGGTCTGCATACAACTGTATATAGTTTTCAGCTGTGATGCTAAGTAAAACAGATGGGTCTGGATGATTTGGTATACTGACAGAGGGGCAAATGTGAGTCCATTAGATAAAGTTATGTAAGTTTTGTAACCTGAAAATCACCATACCTATATCACCTATTTGTTAAAGATGATGATAAGTGGGTACAATGATCTCACAATGTTTACATACTGCAGACAGTAAACTTTTAAGGTATGAATGTAAACTTCAAATTAGTATCTTTAAATTTACAATGATGATAAAATCTTTGAGAAATATAAAACTTCTTTTTCAGAAACTTTTGTTGAAAGTGAAAAATACCAACACTGTAATCAATCTGAACACAGATTTTCATCATCACACTAAAAAACAACAGCAGTTTTTCACATATAACTTGGTATGGCAGGACCACTGTTTAATTTCAAAGAAATTCATACATGTGAAATTACAAACAATATCCTGTTTCCCACCTGCACTTGACAAGGCGCTCTGTCTCCTGGGATAGTGAATGAGGTGCTAGAATTTCTGCTGGATCTAAATGTTCAAGATGCTGCTCCAGTTCCTCTCGACAAGGCCCATCCTCAAATGCATCATAAACTGTCTCTCCTGTGCTGGGGTCAAATGCCTGTCAAGAAATGGTATTTCCGAACTTTATAATAATAAATGTTACGTTTAATTTCATACTTCGGTGAATTTATTACCACAACAATGTATGCTAAAAGTACAAATGGACAGATGATACTTACTGCACTCCATTATACCCAATTTGAAAAGAAAATGCAATGTGAAAGTACTATACATCACAATTGAATGATCAGCCATCCTTCTTTGTATAAGGGCTATTTGGAATGTAACCTCTGTTTATTTTAGGCAACTAATGTAAGAGTGGGGATGAGCTTGTGTGTGTGAGGTGACTACAATCAAGTTCTTCTACCTGAAGAACTTGTTGCAATCACAAAGTTTCTACAGTGATGAGTTGATGGAAGGCATCAAAACATGGCCGAGCTCACAGGTGGCAGACTTCTTTTACACAGGCATACAAAAAATTATTCCCCAACAGAACAATGTTCCAATTCTGGTGGTGATCACATTGAGAAGTAGCTTAAGTATGTATATATTTTTTTGTATAAAATACATTTTCTCTGTGCTTGTTTTCTTAACAGTTCATTGGAAGTTACTTTCTGAACAGCCCTCATATTCAGGATGCCCCAGTTTTGAATCTTCAGCTGAATATCAACTATCCTGACCAAGGTGTAGTATTCCCTTGTCCCTCCAGCCACATGTGGGAACAGTACGTTAAATTCTACCATGATTGCTTCCTTCTGCATTCTTTTCAATTCCTTGTACATTAATCATGCTACCAATTGATGCTATATATTTGAGGTATTGAAAGCATAGTTAAATAAACCACAAATACATGAATAGCAACACCAAAGTGATCAAAACAAAAATAAAGAAAAATTTTGCAACTCTTTCATACAGGGCGTATGATTATGCTTCCTATTCATAAACTATTTTAAGTATATTACATCCCATTAAATCTAATACTAATTAATGCTATTAGTCTACAAAGACCAAACTACGGATGTAACATGAAGAACTATACTGTATTTTGACATATACCATTCAACCACTATATCTTTCCCAGTCTCAAAAATTGATATTAATGATGATTTTCAGGCAGATTCACAGAATGTTCTGAAACTGATTAAATCCATATCAGACACACATACATATAAAGACAAAAGAAAGTATACCAAGTGTCCTATATTTACAGATACTATCCCACACAGCATGGTAGATGGAGCCAATAGATTTCCTTATATAAAAATTGTAAATAATAAAATGGCTAGGGAACATGCAATAGAAAATATTCAATAATAAACCAATATGACATGTACAACTATTATCATAGGACATCTGAAGTGTTTCATATATATTTCATAGGATGCAATTCCAGGGCATTATTGTAAAGGAATGATGTCTGTTCCTAAACAAATCACAGAATTGCTGGGAAATATCCTTCATCAACTGTCGAAACACACATATGATGTCAGTGTCTCTATGGCCTATCCAGCTTTAAGAAGAAATTATTGCTCTTATAGAAATAGCACTGGAAGGTATAGCAGACAACCAAAGTAGAATCACATTTCAAAGCACAGTCTATAATCTGATCATCACTGTGATGTAGCAGAGGTGAAGAACTGGTAGGTCATATCTTACCTATGGACACATTATCCCATATATTCAGAATGGGGCTCTGTAGTTTCAGGACTTTCACTTAAAATAAAACATATTCTCTTGACACTAAGCACTTACCCATTTGTATGTTTCACAAAACCAGCAATACCTGTTATGACAATACACATTTGTCACCAGGATAACAGAAAAAAGCTTTACAAAGCCAGTATTAACAATTTCCTTTATAACAATAGACGCTTTTTAATCACCATGATAACAGAGAAGAACTAAACTGTTACCCATTTTTGGAACATGCCAGGACTATCCTGTTTGCATCAAAGAAACAATGTCACATTTAGCAAGCAAGGTAATAGTAATATAAGGACAGGAATACACTATTGTTGTTCTTATATATAAAATCAGAGCATGTGTCACTTTTAACATACATCATTTTACAGTCAATAATCCCTTGGATATGTTTCACGTGGTAACATGACTTGCAGAAACACATATTTTCAACAAAGACTGTATTTGGCTTGCTAACATTGTTCACGCTTAACGACTTGTTACATAACATACAATCTTCCTTGGTGAGGACCTGGGGTTTATTTTATACAGTTTACATTATTCTCATGTTACTGAAGTTGTTATATATTTTACTATATTGATTGTACTTTTACATCCTAGGATTTGAGGTTCTCACAGCAGTAGTTATGAAGAGTTCTATCTTCTGGGATATAACACTGTGCAGTCAGTTGAAAATAACAAACCTTTCAGAGAAATACATCACCCCCATCTTCAGGCTTATTCTTCAACCCTGATGATGGAGGTCGACTGTTCCTCCGAAATACTGGTTGATTTTTAAAGGACTACATGGCATTATATCCCAGAAGATAGATCCCTTCATTTTAATATCAGTTTTTCTTTCAGTGCTTCCCTGTAACATCTATTATTACATAAAAAAAATGGTATGACCTTAATTACTGTTACTACAGAACAATTTAAAACTTGTTCAAATGATTAAACTTAATAAAATTCACACTTATCATCTTGAAAATAAAAATGTAACTAAATTATTGCCCAGCGTCAGGAGTCATATATGGAAAATATGACTTCATGCACTGGAAGTGAAAACCTTTAAGACGTATGAACTTCCATAACACTGGCTGGATCACTGTTACACAATGAAGCTACACACATACTACGAACTCACCACTACGGCCAGATGAGTTGATTTCTGTTGACTGTTAGATACTGTCTCTGCAGATTCTGCAATACACATGATGTAACTTGCAACAGTGCCTCCCTGTATAAACTCTCCCTCTTGTGATAAGGGATCCACATGTTTACTGCATTAAGGAAGTAACACAACAACGAAATCTCTCTTACACTCCAAAACTTTCACTTTACCTCAATTCTAGATTCTATGTTACTTCTCACATTAAACCCCCATAGTTCTCATAAACATCCTAAACCTGAGGAAACTCTGACCTTAATGAAGGAAACTGTGGGCATTGATGAAGTACAATAAGCTCTATAAAAAAAAACTAAGTCTCCCATATAATGTTGAAAAAATGTAGGTCACTGAAAGTTCATAACCTCAGTCATTATCATTTCCAATTTGATATTTAAATGAGTCAACAGTCATCATGGTATCACAGTTAATTCGCATTTTGATACCCGCTTTAAATACCAGCTGGAGATCAGATCTCCTGAGGTTTCTGTGATTTTTTTCAGTCCCTCCAGCTGACAGCTGAGATATCTTAAAACAGTTCAGAACCACTTCCGCCAACATAAATCCTTATTCACGAACATCCTATAACACCACATTTGATGATACACAACCACAAGAGATGATAAAGTACTGTAAAACTTCATAAAAATGGTGGAGTCTGCAATTCATTTCAGACAAAAGCAATACTGTTCTTGTTGCATGACTGAAATTGACATGTTGAATGCTGCCTTAGATAAGTTCATAACTGGTTTTAAGAGTTGATGGTCTTTCTAGAGATTTATCTGAGATATAATGCAGAAAACAGTAGTTATACCATTACATCTTAAATTTATTCATAGGAACCTTCAAAATGACTCATAATGTGCACAAGCATAATCATCATCATCATCACTTATAAACAATCTGTATTCAGTGCTGGTCAAAACAAATGTTCATCACTGTCTTATGAATGATCAGAAACTACATTACGGTATAAAAATACATAACTTCCATGGCTTACTAACAATCATTTCAGTCCAAGGAAAGTACTTACTTGTTGCTAAAGCTGCAATTACCATATTATATCTCATGTTTAAAGAATTACCTTTAAATCATCACTGCAATATTTAATTCAAATAAAAGAATAATGATTTCATTGATTAAGCTGCCCAAAACATGGTTCCCAAGACCAGAATTTTTGGGACACTAGGGACAATATTAAACAGCAACTTTTCTTTGCCCATTTTCGTAGATTACATTGCAACGTATCCTCATATTTCACTTCCTTTACGCTTTAGTGGGAAATGATTTATTACCTTAAATAATTTAAGTTTAATTAATATGATTATGGTCTTCTGAGTTGTGACACCATGAAGTTTTATGGTTGGATACTGGCATTTCAGAGGAACTTGCTACTTCCACATTCAGGGTTGAAGTATGTAGGTTCAGGAATAACCTGTTTCTGAATCTACACACTTCGTGTGTTGAAATAAAAATCTTCAATGATGTTATGAACAGATCTCAGTGCAGTTATAAATTCTTTTTATAGAAAGAACAAATAAACAGTCTCTTCAATTATTTCTAATAATATGACCTTATTATGCACCATGAACATTACACTTAATTTACCACTATCAACAGTACTTGTAACTTAATATTCACTTTACTTGTGCAAATGTGTAACCAGATATACAAAAAGAATGTAAAGATGCATATAGATTGAGGTGTGTGGTCAACATCACATTGCAAGCATTCTTCTCAACTCAAAACTGATCCACTGATACTGAATAAAAAAAGACTGAATGAATCCCAGATGAAAATCCCAACAATCTTCCTGGCAATTCAATTCTGGCTAACTCGTAAAACATTTTTATGACAGTTACTGTAGACTTCAAATAATTAGACATGTTAATTTAAAATTTTATCACACTTAAATTGAAAACCCACAAAACTTATTGAAATGAAGATGATCGATCGTGGAACTGGCCAATGAGAATGTTGTTAAATGCAGCACAAACTATCAGAATACCACTGTCCTCATATTAGTCACACTAAATGGCAAAAAGCATAAATGAAAGAGAAGAAACACTGCAGTATCAGGAAAAACAAATACTGTGATGGCTTTTAATTATCAGATAAGTGAAACTATATTCACGTGATGGGAATAAACTAGTCAGTTCAATATACAGCACATACCTTCTTTCCTGCAACTGTTCAACCTAGTCCACTACTATTTCCTCCAGAATCCTCTTTCCTAATTAGAAATCATTCTCTTGTTCTTTTCCTGTTAACTCTTGATGTGAGCAAGTCAATCATAAAACCACACACAGAAAGGGAGACTGAATCATCCAATCAATTATGTAGGAGGCAAGGAAAACACTAGGCCATTGTGGTTCTCTGTGATGATCGATATTTCTCCATAATAAATTACTTTGGATTAAATTAACAATAAACAGGTTTATACATATACAGTTGATACAAAAAATATTTTCGTATACTGAAAGGATATCATCTCCAATAAGGGTAGCTTTAGTATACACATGAGCAAGTTCTCGAGTAAATGGGGCATTCTTGTTCTCTCCAGCTGCCTTCACTGCTGTTGTTTCTGTCTGATTCACCACACCAACTTTGTAACCTGTCACACACAGAAGAACAACAACAAATTGCTGACTGTCCTGGAACCATGGAATTATCACCAAACGAGTTTTTAGTCATTACTATAAAACAGAAAAAACTAGGAGTACAAGTTTAAAAAAATTCTGTTCTCTTTATGTTTCTACATATATTCTTTCATATGCATATGTAACAGGGGCTGCCACAACTATCTCTAGTAAAATTATGGGATGTCATCGGCACATTATTGCATGGCATGCTTGGATGGGTAGAAATCCTCCTTTACATCTGGAAGATCCAAGTTTTCAATATCAGGCCAGGGACCAGGTATCTTAATTAGGGTTCTTCATAGTTTTCCCCAGTCTCTTCATGCAAACACTAGGACAGTAAAAGTAAAAAACTAAGGCTATCCCTGTACCAGGCTGTGAAGGCCCATAGGGTTGTGAGACGTTGAGGGTCCCACATTTTCTAGATAATTGGCTCATAGATGGTGGTAAGGTTGTCAGCCTTATACGCCGGCTGCGCTTCACTCCCCAGGAAAATAATTACTTAATTCCTGGTACTCATTTCTGTTAGAGGCTGAGTAAACCCTAGGGCCTAGTGCGGCTGGAAGGATAGTACCTCAGATTAGCTCATGACTGCTTTTTGCCATGTTCCTTCTCATTCATAATTCACCATTACATAAACCAAGAATATGTAAACAAATTAAAAGACACAGCATGTTGAATAACTAAACATCAATCAAGAATTCACTTGAATCTACATATACTTCCCAGATTATGCATGACTCAACTCATGCAAACTCTTCCATAAAGGTCTCAACACTATTTTCAAGAGGCAGAAAATTATGCATTATGTACAGAAACAAATAGTAATGGGTGGTGAGGGCAGGTTATATGGGACAACCTTCAGGAACCTGATGCCTACAGCAGTAAAACTGTTTATGAACATGAGTCACAAAGTTGCATAATTACCAATCTGTAATTTTCATGACTTCTCTGAACAGTAGGAAGCAGTGTACAGAAACCTGACCTTAGTTATTTAATCCTGAAACTACCTGTTATCATATTTTTTAAGTTCAGGTATGTATCATACCATGTCTTTCATGGCCCTGTCCACAACTGCATCCACTTAGAAGCCAAAATAAAGTTGTATTGAAAATATCATAATCTGTGGCTACAGTTGCTAACTGAATTGCACCAAAAAAATAGACTTAAAACTCAACATTAAAACAAACTTGGTTTATTCAATTCAGTGAAAGCTTGTTTGACTGTCTAGTACACAGAGTTTTCATGCATTATAAATAATTTTGTTAATTTCTCACCATGATATATGCACAGTATTTTATTCTTAGAACCTACATCCTACTCTAATATTAACATAAACCAATGGCGGAAAAAGAAATAAAAATCAGCATTCAACATGGAAAGACCAACCAACTAAAAACCATGCACCAACATGGAAATATCTAACACACAATTTACACTGATACAACTGCTGTCTGTCAGTTTTAAGAATAAAATGTAACACAGACATGTTGCTATGCCGGACTTTGTGATTCTACCAACTTACCTTCCTCCACAAGTCTCCGGATGTGAACATGTAATCGAACTGTTGGAATAACAGCAGTAAGAAAGTTGTGGTTCTGTGATATCATGATGTTCAGTACACGGGAAGCAATCTGTGTGACATGAGAGGAATACAATTGGATCTGTACATATATTCCAGCCAATACACACTTGTTACTATTTTATTCACATACATATTTCAATCAGCACTATACTTCCAGATAATAGAGAAATGCATGAAGGCATCATTGATCTTTATAAAAGACTGAAAGATTTGTCCTATATCATTGTATCATGATCTACAGGATTAATAAAATAAACGAATGAACTACTGAAGTCTCTGGAGAAGCAAGACAGTGTACAACAGATGGTCCTGGTGGGCTAGGTGATTTCAAGATGGAAGGGAAGATGTTAAAAGACTACAGAAAATATGGTCATTTCACAAATCCAACAACTCATTAAGAAATGACTGATGTGGCTAACGGTGACCAGTAAACCTGAACTGACTTTTCAGAAGACAATAAAAGGCTGGACATTAAATCATAAAGCAGTTTTCCAATGAAAATAGTGGGTGAAAGAAAATTTTCAAGTTCTAAGCATACAAACACACTGAAATAACCCAGCTTTACAATAAAAATTGACATTGTACAGTGTAACTAATATTTGTGCATACAGGCTATACCTTGATGTAAAGACCTGTTGCTAAGTGACGACTCTGTAAACAGCAGCCATTGCTACGTCACGTTCTCAATACACATGCACACAACAGAACAAAGGGGTTATACAACCCCCTTCTAAGCAATGAATTGGTAAACACACCTACAATAGGGGTATTGTTTGAAATGGTGTTTTCTATTAGGTCCGTGCAAAATCGTTATAAAGAAGAGTTCAGTTGAGAATCAACAGTCAAATTTTGGAGTTCCAATGGAGCAGTTAGTCAAGAGCTGGGCTCTGCAAGGGAGACTGAGAAGATGGCCCTATGAGTTCAGGTGTGGAGTGTTAACCAACAGGCAATGGTATGACCATGAAAGCTGAAGAATGTCCATTGTTAAGATGTGTTACCAGGAAAAGTCTAGTGAACACACTGCAGAGGGATAGCCACTGCTGAGAGCTTTTACCAAGCAATGACTAGTGAAAGCAGACTGAGAAGACTTAGTGTGGAGTGAGCAGGCTGTGCCATAGCTCAGGCAGGTAGTTGCTGGCTTCCCATAGTGGTGGCCCAGGTTAGAGCCTGGGTCTGGTCATGTGGGATTTGTGGTGGACAAAGTGGCACTGGGGCAGGTTTTCTCCAATTATTTGTTTTCCCCTCACAATTTGCATTCCACCGATTGCTCCACAATCACCGTCATCTATACATACATACATCAAAGTTTCAGAGTATTCATAAGTGTGCAACTGGCACTGAATATAAAACTTGTCAAACAACAGTCACAAGACAATCACAGATAAAATTGCAGAGACATCAATTCGACCATAGTTAAAATCTAAAATGAATACCTCAATTAAATAGATACAATGTTACACATACAATTACACCAACAAGACAATTAGCAATCATCTGGGGCTGGTACAATAGGCCAGTAGTGGCTGCAGAACCAAGTGGACTCAGTCTCACCTCACTAAGAATAGTGTGGAGGGATCTGTAGTGTGGAAATCAGCAATAGTATTGTAACTGCTTGCAGTTCCAAGTAGTTATTAAATCCATTCACCAATACATACCCTGTCTATAGTCTCTCTCTCTCCCCCCCCTCACACTCACACACATACATGACAATACCTTGATCTAAGAAGCTACTATGTATCAGAGTACAAAAAATCTGAAAGCCCTGTATTTCATTGTATAAAAGTTTCACTGTATTATCATTTTATAGGAATTTATATAAGTCATAAATGTTAGAATTGTTTTCAAAATGACTAATATTTATGTAACTGACATTACTGATTATTTTCTTAGAGCTCAGAAAGACTCTGTAAGTACAAGTATTACCAGCAGGTCACAAATTAAACTGGTGAAACCAGCTCAACACATACCTCAGCATCTTCACCAAAGAACATGTATTTATAAGCAGTCTGAATCATAAGAATCATCCCATGGTGTTGTCTTTTCAGTTCTAAAACTTGCTGCTCGAGCGGAGTGTATTTCACAATGGAATTACTACTGCTGACACTGCAGTCTGTAGTCTTGGTGGGATTTTTACTGAAAAAGATCAGATTTCAGGCATATGAATTTAAAAAACCAAACACATTTACCTAAATCATAATAACAGTAGTAACAACAAAAACAATAAATATACATCTCTGTTATACAGAACCATAATGCAATGTACTCTATAATTTTTATGGAATGTTGTCATTACATTTTTAAGAATTTTACCTGTCTGTTTCAGCATTAAAACAAATTGAATTTCAACATAAGTTGGTAATGTGAGATTCATGGTATGAGTTATGAAGTAAATTTATTTCTGGAGCAGATTGGTCAACTATAAGGTCCGTCTTCTGAGATATAACATCATGAAATTTGGTAGATGGGTGCCCTATGGGATGCAGCTCAATCTATATCACTTCCTCGATAATACAATCCATATGTCTGGATTTGGTGAATATGATGCTGATATTCTGGAATTGGATGTGAATTTCCAAGTCACTGCCATATTTTACCATGACTGACCTACCTGAATGATACTTCGATCTCAATGGAATAACCGGTGTACTATTAACATACCTACCACACTACATAATATCACATTCCTGGAGACAGTTAACCTTCAGAGACTTTTCCATGAAAACCTCAAACCTCACATCATTATAATCCTACAAATCATACAAAAAGTCATCACATAACATCTCAGCAACCATAACTAATGCTCCATTGCAGCTAAAAACATGAAACTGTATACGAAGATAAATTTTAAATGCTCTTCCTAATTATGTATGACATACTGTCTGTAAGTCAGAAATTACAAAATGGTACTCTAAGACAGAATTTGTATTAAATAAATTTACTATTTTAGACAATACTTCAGATGATGCATATAATATAGTTCCATGATTATCAAACTGCATAGACTTTTTATTCTTAAGTTTTCAAGACACAGATAAGTTTCATTTGCTTCTCAGGAAGGACTCCATGGACTTCATTATACAGATTCCTCAACTTCATCCAGTTTCCTAATTTCTTTTTTGGCCAAAGTCTTTCAGCAAAGTTGGTCTCTAAATTAAAAAACGTTTGTCCTTTTTATCTTTCATTTGTTATATACTTATAGAACTCTTTTTTCAGCTGCAGAATGGATAATACTTTTAACTCCTTGAAATTTATATTAATACTGAAAGATATGTGACCAAAACTTAGCAGTAGCTCACATTACATAACCTCACTATACCTGGGTGACAGAGTACTACACTCTCCTTTATCAGAAAGCACAGAGGAATCTTGTTTTGAATCCCAAGCGCCAAATAAATTAATTTCTTTCTTCCTTTTTCTACTTTCAATAACCTTTGTTCTGGAAATATCAACACATTCCAATTGTTCATTAACATCATGATATGCCGAAAATTTTTTAATTTTTTCCAGAGTTCTGGCAGAAATAGAGCCTGCAATTTCTTGTACAGGAACTACATCACTGTCGTCACAACATTTCTGCCTTTTTGCTGGTGATGGTAAGTTGCTGTCAACTTCTAATTCATCTGGCACTGATCCACATAGCTGCAAATAAGACCAAAAAACTGTAAGTATAAATAATGTTGCCTTATAAGCCTGGTGTGATATGTAATGTACGGAAACAAAATCATACACAATACATATCATATCAAAGATGAGCACAAATAATGAAGAAACAATCTGGGAATATTTTACCTGAAACTACAGAACAGTTCAATCAGAACTCCCATGAGTAATTATTTATTATCTCTTCTTTGTTATGTATCCCCATGATAAGGATAATGACTGATGATCAAAGTACATAACAATTCCTAGTTGCCTTCTTCAGTTTGCCAGAATTGGAACTAACCAAATGACCTTCGCTTCTGTGAGCACAGCAAGGATTTACCATGGCACTGCTGTACAAGACCTATGTTACTTCATCACACACAGACAAGCACAAGTGCACAGAAACATTTGCACATGTAGGTGCAGCTGCAGTGTGAATGTACGAAAACACAAAACTACAAGTTCAGTACTTTAAAAATTTCTAACAATCTGGTTCTATGTAAATACATGACTCCTCAATGGCCTGAAGTCCACAAGTGAACTATACTGACTGAGCGACCGCTGCTTGTTGGTGAAGTCAGTGCAAACTTTAGCAGATAGTGTTGTGTGATCAGTACAACGCATTCCCACGGCCGTGGACCCCGTTCCAGACCCACTACTTCTCAGGAAATCTGGTAGTACCGGGAATTGAACCTGGACCTCTGACCACTAGACCACAGAGGCAGTCCATCTTATGCTTATCTAAAAGCTTAAGAAGTGTTCTTTCCAGTGGGGTGTTACACTATAAAATTCACTGCAGGTTACTTCCAAGGTCATCCAATTAAACCTCTCTGATCTCTATATTTGAATAAACGTATTTTGTTTTTATTAAATAAAAGGTATATTATACACAAGGCTGTCATCTAACATCAAAAGTGGGGGCAGCAATGGAACTGGTACAAACAAAACAAGGCTGGAAATGGTGTACTCCATAATGCAGTATGCAGAATTACCAGCAGCATTCTTTAAGGTTTACTAAGTTTACTTACAAAGAGAGATAATGAAATGTGTAATAGAGAAAGTATATGACATTGAATTTCAACATCTGTGGAACGTTTTGTGGGATACATGGAGAGATCAATTTATGTCCTTCTGTAAAGTACATTCTGCCATCAACCAACATGGCTGAAAACTGGAACTGCCCCATTATTTTGGCACAAGTCTCCCACAGTGAATTTGAAGACAGAGGGACAGATACGACCTCCACAAAATATTTTTTTAAACTTTGCAAAGAACACTAAACCCTTTACTAGACTGACTGAAGCCTATTTTTCGAACAGCCATTCCTACGTGGCGGTGCAGTGTGCATTCTGTACAGCCCAGAGGTCTGGTTCCCAACCGGAAATTGATTGTTTTATGGGTAGAGACCTTTAGGACAATCGGGAGTGTGGTGAAAAAATCATCAGGACGACAACGGACCATTACAGCGCCAGAAAATGTGGATGCAGTTCGACAGTTGATTTTGAGATTTCCAGGATGCTCCGCTCACAAACATGCAGTTGCCCTAGACATATCCAATTGTTCAATGCGCCGAATTCTTAACGAACGTCTTCATTTCCATCCCTATAAGATGGCTGCTGTGCAAGAATTGTCACCATGTGATTTACAGAACCGAATAACGGCGTGCGAAACATTATTGGAAACTTTACCCCCTGATGCACTTGTTGTCTTTAGTGATGAGGCACATTTTCACCTATCCGGATATGTCAACAAGCAGAACATGCGTTATTGGAGTGGTAGCAGTTCCAGAGAGCTCCATGAGAGGCCACTTCACAGTGATAAGGTGACAGTATGGTGTGCGTTGTAGAGAGTTGGAGTTATTGGCCCTTATTTTTTTGAAGAAGACAATCATGCAGTTACTGTCAATTCACAGTGGTATGTGGACATAATTAAAAACTTTTTTGAACCAGCTCTTGAAGAAATGTATCTAGGAAATGTCTGGTTCCAACAGGATGGTGCCATGGCCCACACAGCCCGAGCTTCGATGACAGTTTTGAGGGCAAAGTTCCCCGGATGGCTCATTTCGCTTCGAGGTGACATCCTGTGGGCAGCACACTCACCTGATCTAACGCCCTGTCATTTTTTTTTTATGGGGATACCTCAAGGCAGAGGTTTCTAAACATCGCCCCACAAACCTGCTTCAGCTGAAGAATGTTATTTGGCAGGAAGCAGCCCAAATTCCAGTGCACATATTGGAACGTGCAGAGGGAAACTTCAGAAAACGGTTGCATCAATGCATAGAGAACGGTGGCCACCACCTTCAAGACAGTTTGTTTAAAACTACATGATTTAAAACTTTAAAGTATGTTCTTTCATTAGCTAAACATAAATTTTGTCTATCAGCTATATTTTTTCTTTTATTCACCTTCAAAAAAAGGACGTTTCTGCACCACACCCTATATAACAGTTCACTGCAGAGAATTCGTTCAGTCCTCATTCAGTAAGGGTATCACTGATATTACATTATTAAGAGACGGACATGATCTCCAGTGAAGTGATAATTTTTTTATTTCAATACTCTAATCCTAAATACTTATTACATAGTATATCAGAACTAAGCCAATTATTATGATAACTTTGCCACATTCTGCAATAAAACATGTCTGCAGCACTAACACACTACCCCTGACTTTTAATGTGTTAATATGTGACAGCTTGCTCTAAGACTGCCATACAGTTCCAATTAAATTTCAGCATGAAACATGAGATTCATTTAAAAGTAATGTTCTGCTGTATTTCAGGAAATTTTTATATTTATTTAATTTTCCTGAGCCTCACTTCCAAAGACTAGAAAATCCATTTGTATTTTCTCACTCCTGATTATTATTACATTACACTCTGGCAAGTGGATCAATATAATTCTCCTCACATAATACCCAAAATGTCAAGTGGCACATCACTTTCAAAACTTCTGTGACTGGATGATGACACAATAACAGTATCACATGCCTGTACTTTATTCTTTTCCAATTACTTGTACACCAAACTGCTCTTATACTTCCAAAATCTACTTCAGTCTGAGCAATAACATATATGATCACACAGTCTGAAGTATATCATGCATGTCAGGTTGCATTAATTTCTTTCTAGTGGGTTATTTATTGACACTTTCTGTGTTGGGACCATACAGCATCAGATGTTAGGGGGATTGATGAATGATGAATTTGAAGAAGTGGTCACAGTATAATCGTGGTATTATTCCGACACTATCTTGGAGGATTAGGGTAAATCGCGAAAACCTATCTGGATAGCTGGTGTCCCGGCCGAGATTCGAACCTAACACCTTCCTATTAAGAGTCTTGAGCCTAAACTTCAGACCAGTTCAGTAGTTTGAATTACAAAAAAGAGTTACATTCAATTAGTGTTACTTATAGTATATATATTAAGAACTGTGCCGGGCATATAAAATTTACGTAAATCCAATCGTGGGAGGGACACAAAAAATATGCTTACTTCTGCAAATGGTAGTTCTTTAGGCTTCGTGTTCTTACTAAAGAAACTTGATATTATGAGCTGCCCAGTATTTTCTACGTTGCTGATTCTTCTGAATTTTGCAAGATTTGGTTTAGCCATTATTCTCACATCAGTTAGATACGGATATTCATAATACGGCACCAAACGTCCCTGCACCCATTCCGTCCTCACCAGGCTTCCATACCTATAAACGCCGTACAGTACAGCACGCTACTGCAGATCTGCAGATCGCATTAAATTAGAATGAAAACGTTTCGCATCGCTGTGCGCAACAGCATCCATGGATAGACTCAGCGTCGCTCAGCGTGCAGGCACCACGGAGCCACAGAGGATAGTTGGCCTTATTTATATATATTCTTTGGCGGGAAGGAATTGGAGGTTCTTTCACGTGATCCGGTTACGTGGTGGTATTGTCAGAGTTTTCTTCAGTTGCCTTTGGTTTGCTGCCAAGCAGCCCTATGAAGCTACACGTTATTGGTGGACAATTTGGCCACCTAGATTTTTTATTTGGCGGGTGGTGGAATGTATGTAAATACAAATGACATTTCTGCCATCTCTACGCATTCATTCATAACTAAATACAAATGGCCGCCAAGCGCCGGTAGCTCAATCGGTAAGCTGCTATGTTAACGTCTGTTTTCTGGTCAATTTCGCTCCCCTCGCCCCGGGAGGCGTTCACAAGAATAGTAATAAATAATTTTGCGACAAGATCTCTTGTACTGTAGAGATTCTTAGACTTTTTATTGTATATGTGTTCAGTATCACGTCACTCACACCCTTTGGGTGGGATATGAGTGAAGTGGTTTTTGTTTAAAGTTGTCACCCCCACAAACAACAGAGTAAAAGCCACTGCAGTACAAGGGATCATGTTGCAAAATTATTTATCTGGAGAAAGTTTCTTACCAGTGCCTGGAAAGTCACAACATTTCTTTTACATCAATTTAACACCTCCTTATCCGGAAGTACTGGACATTGTGGACTTAGCATACATGGAATACTTATATTTAGGAAAGCTGAAGGTGGGGAAACTTAAAAGAGAATTTTGTTTTCATCAGAGATACTTGTATTCAACCTCATAATTTACTCACAACTTACACCTGAAAGCCACACAGGGCGTACTTCTTCAGCTACATAAATTATTATAAATCATGTACAGTAAGCAGTAATACTCGGTTCCCATTTATTATATATTTCATTAGAATGATGGGACTCAAGAATGTGAAGTACACTCTTGTCAACAAGATTAAATTACATTTAATGACATAGGAAAATCTGATATATTTATCTTCACCAGGTCAGTACTGTGCAGAATATAGCAAAACTAACAGCATATCTTACAGAAATATATTGAATATTTAAAATTTGGTATCTGTTCATCTTCCAGTTCAGAACTGGAAAGGATTATATGGCAAAAATAATAACATATCTTAAAGAAATCCAGTGGTTATTGAAAATCTTATGTTCATGTTCACTAGTTCAGTACTGGACAGAATCATATGGCACAAATAATAACATATCTTACAGAAATATAATGAATGCTGAAAATCTGGCATTTGTTCATCATCCAGTTCAGTATTGGAAAGGATTATATGGTAAAAATAATAACATATCTTAAAGAAATGTAACCAAATATTCTATCTCATCTTTGTCCAAGTGCAGTCTTCTCAACTTCATGATTTTCATGAAGTAACGCATCTGTGGTATTTGAATGAAAACAAGAAATATAAAATGCACAGTAAATTATAAAGTACAATGTAGCTATGTTTATGTCCTACCATACCAGACACTATTGTAGCCTCCAACCCTTGTGAAGTGACTTCTGAATTTTGAGAAAACAAGTTATGCATAAAGAAAGCAGTCTTCTGGGATTTGGCACCGTGTATATGTGGTGTTAACCNCATCAAACGGTTAATGCAGTGGTCTACACAGTTACTCGAACTATGTTCACACAAACCACCCCCATTATTATTTGTGAAATATGTAATTAACTTCAAAGACCATTCATATAGTTGCTGCCTGTAAACCTGCATTTAACACAAATGGAAAACTTTGGGGTTGGTTAAATTAAATTCCTGAACATTTTTTTTTTTGCAAATATATATTTTTAATGTACATATATGACAAACAAAACTTCACATAAAATTTAATAATAAGAATAAAGAACTTGTTCGAGTATACCAACTTACTGGCAGAGGCTTAAGTTTGTCAAAAGCTACAACATAATCTGAAACTGAAACCACAATGTATAGTTAATCCCTATACTTTGTACATAACATGAAATAGACAGTACTTTCTTTTTACCAGTTACTTCGTTTGGCAAACTAACTACACGTGGTCGTCGACTTACAACCGACTTCCGTTCTGACAGACAGGTCATACTGGTTGTATGTCAGCCACATATTTATTAACAGTATGTTTTAACCTTTCTAATCTTTTTATCATCTTTATAATTTATTTGTAAAAACTTTTATATTTTAATTACCTTTTATTTTTCATTTTTTTGTGATCGTAAGTGCGGCCAGTCGTAAGTCGCATAGGTTGTAAGTCGACGACCAAGTGTATTAAAATGTACTCATATAACAAAAACTGTTAGCAGGAGAGACCTGGAAATAAGCACACAGAAGTACAATCAACTCAATGTGTAATTGAAGGACTCATGAAGTCTCATGTTAGTATTGTGATATATATTTCATACAAGCATACAAATTGTTCTACATCTTTAAAGCATATTTGAATACATAAGCTTCAAACTTCCCTTCTGCAAAGATTCTTCTACATGTGTAGGTATCTGAGGCAGGGAAGGTTTCTAACAATTCAACAGTTTACTTAACTTTACAAAAATCAGTATCACAGGGTGGAACATTACAAAAACTCTCAACATCCCATTTCAATAGAACAGTAAAGGACTTTCACAGCATACAACTAAGCAAATGAGATTTCTAAGCTGTGTATAAATCAAAATACATAAGTAATCACACGCAGCCATGTTTTCAGCATCAGTTAAACCATCAAATCTGGCAACCAGCCTCAATCACCTGTGTGCTTGTATAAATGTTAGGCATGGAACAAAATGGAAAATGTTATTAGCTTCTGATGTCTGAGAACCACTTGCAGCAATGATTACAAAACTACATCACACTTGAGATAACTGATATTAGGGTTGCAAAATTATTTCCTACCACAAATGGACACAGTCTAATCAAAAAACATTTTAATTACAGTTTATGGAAACAACTGAGTTTATAATTAAAGAATGATGAACCAGACTGACTCAAATAAATAAGAGTTCAAATGCAGATTCCAAAATGTGGCAGGGATATATACATAATATATATCTAGTATTAAATTAATGTTACTCCATTAATTTGCCATCCAATGACTTAGCATACCAATATAACACTGTACGAGTATTGCACTGGTATACATAACTAAAACAAGTTTAATGTTTCATTACAGTTGAAAAGTCATGGACATGAATTAAGACACACAGCCTGAATACAAGAACATGAGTATTTACTGGAAAAATTAACATGCATACTGAGTGTTCTAATTGATGAGAATATTGTATACCTGCCATAGCAATATAAAACCAATTGATTAAGGCACAAAAATGAGTATGTTGAACAGATCTTTCTTGTGGAATATGAGAAAAATACACCAGCAGATCAAATTTATACAAATTCCTGAGAGTTCTAGAATTATATATGAATGTCACTAACAACTTCAGTAGCGTTTTCATTCCACACATTTTGTAGTAAGAATAGTGATGACTGGTAATGCCAATATAAATGACTAAATGTTCATCTGAAAATATGGAAAGAAATATTTTCATAAAAGTAGCTAATTAAACATTTATCTTAACAGAGCTAAATACTTTGCACAAATCAACAAATTAATTGGCTGCTTTATAAATGTAAACAAACCAATTTCATGATGCAAAGTTCTTATTGATAAAAGAGAAACCCTTATTTACTCCCCCCCCTTGGCAGTACAGCCCCAGTGGGCCTAGGCCTACCTCCACGAACTTCTCCGTTCACTTCGGTTTTTCTAAATCTTACACATTCGGTAGGACTCCTTGGGCGGGTGATCAGCTCGTCACAAGGCCTCTACCTGTACACAAACACAAAAAAACGCACACACACAAACTAAACATCTATGCCCTAAGTGGCATTCGAACCCATGATCACGGTTTCCAAGCGAGCGAAGACAGTACATGCCTTAGACCGCTCGGCTACTGTGACCGGCCTTATTTACTTTACCTACATAAAATTTAACAGATGTTAAACACTGCAAAAATGAGAAAATTTGATATTAGAGCTGAAATTCTTTCCAAACATGACAAGATAATAGGAACATTAATATATGAAGCACTGTCAACTACATTCTTGTGAAGTGTACTCTCCTACCTCCACGTGTTAAATCAGTAATCACAAATGACAAACAAGTAGTATGCAGACCAGAAGTAACACCCAATATGCCTCAAAACAGAATTTTAAAAGTGTTAATGGAACAAACATTTAAATGCATCAGAGCTCAAACCTGAAGTATCTTTGTGTCCTTTAGAAGGAAATTCCCTAACTAGTTTCAAAGCAATTATGAAAATTATAATCCACAAACTTCAGTAGTTTGTGTAGTTTTGCCTTGTGAGATGCTTTCAATCCCAGTAACCTAAGAGTAAACCTTTATATCAGTAGTTGCAAATAATCTATATTAATTCTATAATCTAAATAATTCTTATTATACAAAATGTCAGACTTCTCGTAACTCATGCACGTTAGATATTATGTTCAGTATATAACATGTATTTGTGCTGCTGCTACTAAAGCTATTTCCCATTTGCCATTCCCTAGTTGCATTTTAAGTTGAAGTTATGTTGGGACATTTTAAGTTGAAGTTATGTTGGAACATTTAAGTTGGTGAAGTTATGTTGGGAGAGCTAGTATGGTACAACAGTAAAAAATCAGTCCATTCTATTTTGAACAATGCTTGCCAGAAACAAGAATTCATAAGAATACTATGATACCAAGACAAAATTAAAATGCTGAAACTGGCAACCAGAAGTCATATTATGAAAGACATGTATAAAAACTACAAATACATCTAGATTCTAATTTTCATAATTCTGTATTTCAGTGTCCTGTTGCAATTGTTTAATTTAATGTCCATATATTTACTGTCCATCAATACTGCAACACTTGTTTATTGACTACTTAATTTTAATTTTAGTTTAACATTATACACTGACACAACATGAACAACGGACGACACCCCGTGTGAGGCGAAATAAAATGCACCAAAATGTGGGTATAATAGAAACTTTAAAGGGTTTTATGTGGTTTTACCTTGAAAAGAGAACTACAGAGTGCAACTTTAACAAGGACTAAGATAATGTAGCAGTTTTAACATAATTTAATAAAATATTTGTAACATATCAAGACACCTGAAGATGGCCATTTGGGGCCGTAACATGTAGTGTCAAAGTGTATAATGTCGAACTAAAACTAAAATTAAGTAGTGAATAAACAAGTGTTGCAATATTGACAGACAATAAGTACATGGATGTTAACTAATTTTCATGTTATAATGACAAAGACAATGTAGGTCAGTGTATCTTCTATATCAGTGAACAAATGGAACCACTTCCAATTCTTGCTTTATATTCTTTAGGCAACAAGAGAAACTGCCAACTTACATCAACTCTCCAACTACATTTGGATAAAATTCTATTTCACACTACGACACGTGACAGCCAACAGTGTGCTTAGGCTTCTTGCTCATAACTTCACCACCAAATAAGATGAGCATGTACTTTCAAGCTAAGTAGTAGTTTTTCTTAATAAAACAGTTCAAAAAACTTCCCCATTCAGTAAACAATCTCTATGGTACATAACATTATCTTGAGGTTCACTTTTATGATAATCATAACATTACTTTATGTAGGGTTTTTATGGCTCAGAGATTCCAGTTTCTCCTTAATCAAGGAAGATATATGTTAGTGAGGACATCATTCCTCGGTGGAAAACATTACTTATTCTCAAAATTGAAAACTGGATAACGTGGAGCATATTCCAAATTGCCTTGTGTATACTGGTTGTCTCCTGCATCCTTGATATTCTTCGGACCAAACATGCTTTCAGAAAAAGTAGGTGGTGCTGTAACAAACAACAAATACTTGAATACTGTACCTCAAAATTGCCCTCTCTCTGTGTGACATGACGGCTGAAAGCTGAATAGTGGAAGGAGAGGCAAGAGATTCTAGGAAACAGCATGGTAAACACATTTCTGCTGCAATAAATTAACATGCAAAAATAGAGGAACTGATGGAAGCAGTGCATTTTATTCAGCCCATGTAAAGGCTACATAGTGAGGTAGCTGTGGATTGCACTGTGCAAAATTACACTCTCGGACCTAACTAACAATCTACCCGGTCTGGAGAGTCTGCTAAAACAAAAACGGATGTTAATGACAATGTGGCAGGTAACCTGGGATACAGCACGTAAAACAGAAATTAACAGGGTCACCAAAACCATCAGACAAATGACCCGTAGAAAGGCATTCGAATGGTAGGAAACAAGCTTATAAAAAGGGATGGACCAGAGGCACCAAGCACTGTTCATGGCCCTTTAGGAATAACATATCACAAGAAGTAAGCAAACATGATTACTGACTGTTTGGAAATAAAGTGCACATCTCATGACCTGTGTGATAAAAACTACGAGCCATTATAGTCCAAGCCCTGCTCACATTTGTAGATGACAACCTCCCGGGAAAAGTAAGACCCTGTGACATTCGTCAATCAGTAAATTAATTGAAATTGAGAAAGGCTTGTGGTCTTGATGGTATATCAAATTAATGCCTCAGGTATCTTCCAAGAACACCAATGGTACATTTGACACATTTATTTTCCAAAGTTTTGGAAAGAAGCAGAAGTTACAATGTTAATGAAACCAGGTGAGGACTCAGTATTGCCTCAAATGTCCGATGAGCCTCTTGTCCATAACTGGCAAGCTATTTGAGAAAGTTATTTTGAAAATATTCCAAAGGCACATTGAAGAAAGAGGCCTGCTTAATGCAAGCCAGTTTGGTTTCCATGCCTGTCACAGCATGACATTTCAATGTATGAGGCTTATGGACCATGTCACCTTAACTTTCAATAATAACATGTCTACGATTGCGGTATTCTTAGATATTGAAAAAAGACTTTAATACAACATGGCACCTTAGTTCGCTACATAAATTAAAAATTTCTATCAGTCTAATCAAGCTTATTAGCTCTTTTCTTCCATAGAAAAATTCAGAGGCTCAGTTGAAGGCGAAATATGCCACAAGGTTCAATCTTGTCCCTCACATTGTACAATATACAGTAGAACTTGGTTATAACGTCATCAAAGGGACCTAAAAATAGCGTCGTTATAAACGAATGTCGTTGTAACCGAAATGGGCACTTCCACAGTAGCCTTATGTTAGTCACGTAAAAATCTACCAAAAACCGAGTTAAAATGTTGCATTTTTTAGTGAAATACGTAGTTAAGTACAGACTAACGTAACATTAACGTGGAATTGCCCAAATGTGTAATATCAAAGACATATTACAGCGCTTTTCACTGACAATACACACCGCACTAATACTGTATATTAAAGGTAGGCCTACTCACCAAATTACAGTAGATTACATCAATTGTTGTGCCTTACTGTACCTAGATACGAGTACAGTAATCAGTTATCTTCATCNTCTTTGCTTATGACACCTGGAACAGTAACAGACTGCAAAGAGGAATATGTTCTCAGGAAGCAGCAGTGAGGTCTCAGTGCTACTGAGATGTCGTGTGAGCGGTAGAACATAAAAATTAATGAAGATAAGATTCAAGCCTTCTACTCTTCTCATAGACTTAGGTTCCCTGGGGCTCATCTTACATTGAATGGACAAACTACCAGTTCACCATTCATGTAAATTATCTTGGTGTAACAGGATAACAGGATTACATGGAGACTGCACAAAGAAATGACTGAAGTCAAGACTTTCAGAACATTTATAAGAATCTACCCCCTATTCAAAAGTGATCTCTTTGGAGACCCAGGGATACATGGGAGAATATCAAAATCAATTTTTGACACCACAGGAAAGATGGGGGGTTTACATGTTTGGGTTCCATAAAAGGAGGAGTTTCCTCACCACATGAGTATATACAAACTTGTGAACAAAATCCTTGTGTCATAAAGCGAGTCTGATTAAAGAGAAAACAAGCATAAATTTAATGTGTGTGAACAGAGAAATTTACTTACACAGGTCTGGATATAATGATGGTCCCTGTGAAGGCACATTAGGCTGTGACTCTGCATTGGGATCAGATGGTGGCATGTTCCAGCCAGTATTTCCTGGGGCCTGAAGTACTTCCATAGCAGGTGGTGGTACATTGTAACCAGCAGGAGAAATACCTGTGCCAGCAGGAACATTGGGGTTTTCTCCATTTACCTCTCCAGGCGGTTTTTCTCCAGCTGGGACAACGGGTGGTTGATAAGATATCAAAGGAATTGTCCCCAGAATAATAGGTGTTGTTGTCTGAAGGTCTCTGTGCCATTTTGAAGATTTGGCTTTTACCTGTGAAATAAATTTAAATTGTAGTTCGCAGTTATCACTCATTTGTCAATATAATTAAATTTACTTATGCATTTAGAAGTTATTTCACAATAACTTACTTTCAGATCATAGTCCAAATCAATTATGCTGCAGTTATTCAGATTGGATGGAGGTAGTGGTGGAACCTTCAACATTTGTGTCCAGCTGCTTGTTCCATGAGGTTCAACAGGACCCAAAACCAATTCCCCAATGTTAATGTTATCTTTTTTGGTACTTTTATTGGGATTTGTCACAGTAAAAGTCAGTAGCTGCAACAGAATAACTTCAAATCATGTACTTACTGAACAGTCACCTAAGCTCTTAAAAACCACTAGTGAAAAATTAGTATTTTAAGTTCCATGGCAACTTCTTTTTAACATATTAACAAGGAAGATCATTTCATCTCTAGATCATGGCCAATTAAAAACAGAGAGAAAAAGAAAAAGCAGCAGCACTTTTTCAATAAATACATAAAAACCAAAAGAAAGTATCAACTCCACAGGCTGACCTTGGGCATTATACATCATCCCTTTGTTGTAGTTCTGGGTGGTGGCACTGAGTGAAGATGCGTGTGTGGAAGTAATTCTGTTTTGTGGAAGTAACAGACCATGAAGATTTGCATGAATGGACATACTAAGCAAAGGAAAGGATGAACTGTAGAGTAATGTCACATTAATATTTAGCACTATACACAACAGGATGCTAAAATATAATATTGTCGCGTATCGGGCGTATATCGCGACAAATAACTTCACGCCGTATTTTATATAGCGAATTTTATTTCACATTCGCACGTACAATCACCCAAATTACAGATTTATGATTACTGCTATCTGCAGTATCACAAATAGTACACTCTAAATGCCAGAATACAACTGACTGGTTGCTGGCTAACTCGGAGGTAGCTCGAGGACTGACTTGGAGATAGCTCCAGGACTAACTGTGAATAGCCTTCGCTGCGCCTCATGTAGCCTCGATCGGACAATACAGAAAACGGCCACGTAATAAGCACCCTTGCTGCCTGGTGCTGTGTTGCTAGTAACACTAGCGGTAGTAACTGCTGTTACCACCGTCGTCTCTCGCAATCCTGTTTACCCGTGCTGCCTAGCAACCCGCGGTACACTTGGTGACGTCATCGCTGTTGACTCGCGTTGCCTAGCGACCAGGATGCTAGGACTCGGCTAACATCGGCTTCGCTCGGCGCATCACGGCTGGCGGGGGTGGGGGAGGGGCGTCATCCATAGCTCAGCATGTCACAATATTATAAGTGGTCATACTAACAGCATCTACATATTCTTGATGTCCTTTATATTGTTGTATTATTGACGTGTACTTTAATAAATAAGGACAATGACTGTCAGGTGTTTGGCAAAAACTGTTTTTTCTACTGGAATAAAGAAGCTTGTTGAAAGATGTGAAAAGTGCATTGCAAAGGATGGTGACTACATGGAAAAATAACATCTTATTTGGATGTGTATACATGTGCATCCCTATGTATACATACATAATCACTGCCTATTTAAGAAAGCAGATCTTTTCCTATTTTTCCTTCTCATTCTGCTCCATCTTTCTTCTCTTTCTAATGTCTCCCCTCAGACATGCACCTTCTATAAAGGTTTCTCACTGTCCTGGACTTGTCTCCCCACCTACAGAAAGAGATTAGTCCCTTAAATACATATTTTTCAGCCTTACTTTACACTGGCTATCAGTCAAATTGAGCAGTTCACACTGTGCCATGGACCTGAACTGCTTGAGGCAACTGGCTAGTTACACTGCACTGAAGATGAAAATGGTGATATCTCTGAAACATCAGCAGTACAGCCTACGTGCACAAGGTGCCAATGCACACAAACAAGATCTACAATAATTAACTCCACAACGCAGGTCCTGCTTGAAAAGTTGACAGTTTTCAAGCCCTGTCAGCTATATAAACGTCTTTTTTTTCACATTAAATATACAAGATTTCATCTTCCTGCATGCTGATGGATTCTTAAAATAGAAATAACAGTATACAACTTCTCATACCTTTCTCAGTGTGCATTTCACTTCACGTATAGGTACATCACTGTTGTTTTCAACATCAACAGTGATGGGAATCTCTTGGCCAGGAACATAACCACTAACAGGCAGTGATAAGGTCATTGTCAGTGGTCCTGAACTCCAACAGCAGAAACCAAAGTGTTTTGATACCTCCTTCCTCACTGGTTCCTGGATCATAAAGTAGTAAAGAAATATATTCTTCCTATGTAAAAATACAGAAAGCCTGAACATGCCTTCAAACTATCAATTTATCCAGTTCCTTGTCACTATCACACTGATTTTGGATTACTGTATGTCATAATATTAATTTTCGACACATCAGCATTCATATGGTAAAGGATGTCATTTGCTTCATTGTTGCTGTACTTGTATGTATAATTTCTGCTTCCATGTCTGGTGTAACTATGATTACAGTCTTACCCATTTTCATTTCTGCCATGGATTTTTGTACAGAAAAACTGAAGGTACCCCAAGGACTCCAGATGTTTGAACACTCTGTATCAAGTAGTATGGAAGATAACAATACTGCAAAATTTATGCAGCAACAAGAGAGATGAATGAGGTGATGGTGCCCAATTTAACATTCATCAGTTGCCAGAAGCTCTCCTTTGTATCATCACTTCTGTCCTCTTGGGGCATGAACATTCAGAACAGTATCACACCAGCAACCTGTCAGTATCATATATATCATCTTATTGCTAACAAACTCCACCCTTTAACTGCTGATGTCATTCACTTAAGGTAAAAAAAGAAAGTTGTCCTTGTGCTTAACTAATTAAGCACTATGCCATGAAGGTGAATGGAGGAGTGGATGTATGGAGCCATGGTTTCTTCACTTCAGCACTAGTTGGAGGTGAGTGGTCAGCTTCATGCCCCAGAACTCACTGTTAAGAGGCTAGGTGGGTCACAGAACCAGCCTGGACGTGGAGAAAATTCTTTACGCTACTGTAATTTAAGTACAAAAATATCCCTTCCCTAACAGATGATTATTATTCTCAATTCCATAGCAGAATGGATAATCAGTTGGATCAGTACCACCCTTGTCCCACTTGACCCTTCACAATCCCACTAAATCTGGCTTACACACTGCAAATTCTGTTGCTACTGTTTTCAATGAACCTGCCCTAAAGACTCTCTACACTGAACATTCTATCTCATGCCAATTTTCCACTGTTTAGGATGTTCCAAAGAATCTCAAGTACAGGATGTAACACTTCATAGTACTGTGGCATGTAAATCCGTTGCTAGGCAACGGCTGTATGCTAAGCAGTTATACAACCGCCACTGCTATTTATTATTATTATTATTATTATTGTTGTTGTTGTTGTTGTTGTTGCTGTTATTGTTGTTATTATTATTATTATTATTATTATTATTGGAGGGGGTGGGTTTCCCCAAGCACTATGACCAGTTGTTGATCCATTGTGCGTCCCCACAAAACCTGTCTACAGTCCCACTCAAACACGTGACAATATGCTGATATTTTACAGTGAGAAGTTGTTAGCCTTCCGCCCAACCACCAAACTGGAGGCCTAACGCCTTCCAGCTGTCCATGACAATATATTCATAGGTACCGTCCACAGCTAGATATTTCCTACAGCCACAACCTGGAGACTACACCATGCTGTGTAGACAGTAAACAACTGGAAAGCTCCATACCTTTGCTGTTTGATGAGTATTCAGATCTAAAGGAGATATAACAGTAAATGCTGCCTTTGCTTCTTGGTCAAACTTCCATGGCCGATCCAGTTTAGCTTTGACTGTATATCGAATATGTCCATGTTCACCTTCAAAAGATGAAGGAAGATTTGGCGGTAAGTGGGTAGCAAATGGGTAGCAAAGCTCTCCAGCTGGCATTTCAATTTCACCACCTGAAATCATAATGTAATCTGTTACATGATTATATTACAAGAAATGCAAATCAGTTGTAAAATATCCCTCACAGATAAAGCTACTTCAGGTATTTCATGTCACAGATTGCATATATCTCAGGAACTTTATAAAGCGCACACGCACTGAAAGACTTCAACAACATAATTATCAGAACACTTCACTCATTACTCTGAGCTTGCAGGATTTGTGGTGTACTAACACAGATGTCTAACAAAGGCCTGAACCCCCCCCCC